AAAAAAAAAAAAAAAAAAAAGAAAAAAAAATCAAATATGCTTTTTTTCATTTCTTGTCTTAACCTTTTTTGCCACTTTAACGGTGGCAATTTAACAGAGGAGGGGACTGAGTTTCCAATAGATTANAGTCATTCAGTAGCAAAGAACAGAGTACCAATAGTTCCTCAAGCACTCCCCCTTGAGGGTGAAAGAGAAACTTGACATACTTAAGACGGAAACTGCAAAAAAAAAAAAAAAAAAAAAAAAATTAAAAAAAAAAAAAAAAAAAAAAAAAAAAAAAAAAAAAAAAAAAAAAAAAAAAAAAAAAAGAGTAACTGGTCAAATATGCTTTTTTTCATTTCTTGTCTTAACCTTTTTTGCCACTTTAACGGTGGCAATTTAACAGAGGAGGGGACTGAGTTTCCAATAGATTAAATACACTGTGTCTGTGTTTAGATTCAAACAGAAAAAAAAAGTCCACCCTCCACATGAAACTTATTCTGCAAGTAGAAAAGCTATCAAAATGTTTATACCTGCTTTCTTCCCGTGGATGCCAGGGAGTAAGCGCCGTTAAAGTCTCCCTTCCCACCACTGTCATGTCTAAGTCAGAGTCTCCCAAAGAGCCTGAATAACTGCGGAAGCTTCTCCTCAGAGGTCTGAGCTTTGAAACAACGGAGAGTCTGAGGACCCACTGTGAGCAATAGGAACTGCTCACAGGCTGTGTGGTAATAAAAGGTCCAAACACCAAGCGCTCCAGAAGCTTTGGGTTTGTCACGTTTGTCACCGTGGAAGAGGTGGATGCAGCCATGAATGCAGGGCCACACAAGGTGGACAGAAGAGTTGTGAAACCAAAGAACTCTGTCTCCAGAGGAGATTCTCAAAGACCTGGTGTCCCCTTAACTGTGAAGAAGATTTGTGTCGGTGGCCTTAAAGAAGACAATGAAGAACATCATCTGAGAGATTAATTTGAACAGCGTAATAAAATGGAAGTGATTGGAATCATGACTGACCGAGGCAGTGGCAACAATAGAGGCTTTGCTTCTGTCACATTTGATGACTATGACTCTGTAGACAAGACTGTCATTTAGAAATACCATGCTTTGAGTGGCCCCAACTGTGAAGAAAGGAGGGCTCTATCTAAGTAGGAGGTGGCTAGTGCTTCCTCTAGCCAAGGACGGCGAAGTGGTTCTGGAAACTTCAGTGGTGGTTGTGGAGGTGATTTTGGTGAGAATGACAACATGGGTCATGGAGGAAACTTCAGTGAGCGAGGTAGCTTTGGTGGCAGCTGAGGTGGTGGTGGATATGGTGGCAGTGGGGACGGTTATACCGGATTTGGTAATGATGGAAGCAACACTGGAGGTGGTAGGAGCTATAATGATTTTGTCAATTAGCATAATCAACCTTCAAATTTTGGACCATGACAGGAGGAAATTTTGGAGGCAGAAGTGTTGGCCCCTATGGTGGTGGAGGCCAGTACCTTGCGAAACACAAAACCAAGGTGGTTCTGTGGTCCCAGGAGCAGCAGTATATATGGCGGTGGGCAGATGGTTTTAATTCCTGCCAGGAAACAAACAAACAAACAAAAAATAATTTCTGCCAGGAAACAAAGCTGAGCAGGAGAGGAGAGCCAGAGACGCGACAGGGAGGCTACAGCTTACGACAGATGTGGCAAGGCCAAGCACAGTGGTGACAGGGACTACCTGCTAAAAAGATGACATGTTTGGGCAATACTCGTGGGTATGGAGGACTGTATTTGTGACTAATTGTATAACTGGTTATTTTAGTTTCTGTGGAAAGTGTAAAGCATTCCAACAAAGGGTTTGAATGTAGATTTTTTTTTTTTTTTTTTTGGCACCCACGCTGTTGATTGCTAAATGTAATAGTCTGATCATGGCATTGAATAAATGTGTCTTTTAAAAAATGTGCTGTGTAGTTAGTCTACTCTGAAGCCATCTCGGTAAACTACCCCAACAATGTGAAGTTAGAACTCCTTCAGGGTGATGCCAGGCTCCATTCAGAATTGATTTGCAACCTGTTTGGACACAGAAGCCATTGTCTCCACAAACACTGGTGTTGTTGAACTGACAGTCAATGTGTTGTAACCTGGAATTCACCATTAAAAGTGTCACCAAGCAAAGCCCCGTAGTTTATTTGGTTATTAATATGATTGTTGGTACATCCTATGCAATATGGTATCAGAAAAAGTTATAGATGGGATTAAAGTTTGTGTACCATCCATCATCATATGTAATCAATCAGTTATTTAATATTCTATTGGAAAAAAAACATTTATAACTATAAAAACTCTCAACAAAGTGGGCTTAGAGGGAACATACCTTAACATAACAGAGGCCTAATATTAAAAACCCACAGCTAATATCATATGCAATGGTAAAAAACTGAGTGCTTTTCCTCTAAGATCAGGAATAAGAGTAGGATGCACTCTTGCCACCTTTTTTCAACATAGTACTGGAAGTCCTAGCCACAGGAATCAGACAAGAAAAAGAAATAAAACACATTCAAATCAGTAAGGAAGATAAATTGTCACCATTTATAGATGACATGGTACCACACATAGAAAACCCTGAAGACTCCAAAAAAACTATTAGAACTACTAAACGAATTCAGTACAGTTGAAGGATAAAAAGTTAATATACAGAAAGCAGTTGTATTTTATTCACTAATAATAAAGGAGCAGAAAGAGAAATTAAGAAAACAATTCCAATTCCATTTACAATTGTACAGAAAGAATAAAACACCGAGTAATAAACTTAACCAAGGAGGTGAAAGACCTGTACTCTGAAAACTATAGAACACTGATGAAAGAAACTGAAGATGACACAAAGGGAAAGATATTCCATTCTCAAGGATTGAGAGAACAAATATTAAAATGTCCATACTACCCAAAGCAGTCTACAAATTCAATGCTACCCCTATCAAAATACCAACAGTGTTTTATACAGAACTAGAATAAATACTAAGATTTGTATGGAACCACAAAAGACCCAGAATAGCCAAGGCAATCTTGAGAAAGAAGAACAAACCTGGAGGTACCACAATCCCAGATTTTAAGATATACAACAAAACTGGAGTATAGGGAATGACAGTATGGTACTGCACAGGAACAGACACATAGATCAATGGAACAGGAATAACAGCCCAGAAATAAACCCATATTTACATAGCCAATTAATCTACAACAAAGGATGCAAGAAAATACAATGGGGAAATGAAAGTCTCTTCAACAAATGGTGCTAGGAAAACTGGAGAGCTACATGCAAAAGAATGAAACTGGGCCACTGTCTTACACCATACACAAAAATAAACTCAAAATGATTATAGACCTAAATATAAGAGATGAAACCAAAAAATTCCTAGAAGAAAACATAGGCAGCAATTTATTTGACAATGGCCTTATCAACATTTTCCTAGATATGTCTCCTCTGGCAAGGGAAACAAAAGCAAACATAAACTACCAGGACTACATCAAAATAAAAAGCTTTTGCACAGCAAAGGAAACCATCAACAAGATAAAAAGGCAACCTACTGAATGGGAGAAGATTATTTGCTAATGATATATCTGATAAGGGGTTAATATTCAATATAAAAAGAATTTATACAACTCAACACCAAAAGACACAAACAGTCCAATTCAAAAATGGGCAGATAACCTGAATAGACATTTTCCCAAAGCAGACATACAGATGACCAACAGACTTGTGAAAAGACACTCAACATCATTAATCATCAGGGGAAATCAAAACCATGAAAATCAAAACCACAATGATATCATCTTACACCTGTAAGAACAGCTAGAATAAAAAAGACAAGAAATAACAAGTGTTTGCAAGAATGTGGAGAAAAAGGAACTCTCATGCACTGTTGGTGGGAATGCAAAATGGTATAGCCACTGTGAAAAACAGTATGGAGGTTCCTCAAAAAATTAAAAATTGAATTACCATATGATCCAGTAATTACACTATTGGGTATTTACCAAAGAAAATTAAAATGCCAATTCAAAAAGATATATTCACTCCTGTTTATTGCAGAATTATTTACAATAGCCAAGATATGAAAGCAACCCAAGTATCCACTGACAGATGAATGGATAAAGAAGATGTGGTATACACACACACACACACACACACACACACACACACGCACACACACTGGAATATTACTCATCCATAATGAGATTTTGCTATTTTTTAACAGTGTAGATAGAGGTAGACGGTATTATGCTAAGTGAGATAGGTCAGACAAAATAGCATATCATTTCACTTGTATGTGGAAACAAGTAACAAAATAAATGAATGCAAAAACAGACCCATAAATAGAGAAAAAAACAATGGTTGCCAGATGGTAGGGGGGGTAAGGGGATGGGCAAAATGGGTGAAGGGGAGTGGGAGGCAGAGGCTCCCAGTTCTGGGATGAGTCAGTCAGGAGGATGAAAGGCACAGCCTAGGGAATATGGTCAGTGGTACTGCACTCCGGCTGTATGGTGACTGCCGGTGCCTCCATCTGCGGTGAGCAAATAGAGTATAGGCTTATCAATCATGATATACACCCGAAACCAATGTAACGTTTTGTGTCAACTATACTCCAATTTTTAACAAATGTTTGCAACTGTGGATTATATGTTTAAGTGGCAACCTCTCATCAGACACATTCTCTTCTGGAAAACAGATCCAACAGGTGGCTGGCAACACTTCCGGAGAGTAACAGTGAGATGGCTCCTTCGACTCTATAGAGGCTCAGCTGGGCGCAGCAGCAGGAATTTCTCTCATACATGGGTCACTTAACAAACCTCACTGAGGCCTCTTCGTAATCTGACAGCCGAGCCGCCGTCGGTTCGAATCTGCCTCTCTGACCTTGCCATTCTATCCCGGGCACCCGGCAGAGTACGCTAGGCCTCAGGCAGGCGAGCGGCCTCTTTAAGGAAGCCAAGGGCTGCGCTGATTGGCTGAGCCTCGGAATCGCTGTCAAGGCCGTCCAATCCCGGGGCTGTGCCCGGCGAGCCCCGGTCTAGTCGCGGCGGACGGGATCCGGGCCTGGAGGCCTCGCCGCGCTCACTGTCTGTCCTCACCCCCGCCGCCCGCCGCCCAGTGAGTGAGCGCGGGCCGGCGGACTGGCCGAAGGCTGAGGGGTAGGGGGAGGCGGCGGGGGGGGGAGGGGTGTCCGCGCGGGGCCGCCCCTGCCGGCGACGAGCTCCGGGCCCCCGCTCCTCGAGAGCACCCCAGGCTGGCTCTCCTCTCGTCCACCCCCAACCTTGTTTGGGAAGAGCCGGTTCTCCTCGCTAGGAACCCTGGCTTCTCCCGAATCGATGTAACCGAGCTGGGAAAGGAGGCAGAGCATTATCCGCGGAAATCCGCACACCACAGCAGGAAATACCCAGGTTACAGCAACTGGGTCCAGGGAGCGCGGGTGGAGTTACCATAGGGAAAACCTCCCGGAAGCTGTGGGTTCTGAGCTGGAATTTGCAGGGGGGAAGTGACCTAATTTGAAAGAGATGCAAAAACGTACTGGAAATTATTGTAATTATGCCATCAGTCTCAAATGTATGTAATGTGTCATTTGATCAGGAAATGAATCAGTACAGACATTTGGATAACAAGAGGTCACACATGGGTCATGAAATTCTTTTTTTTTTTCAATAAGTAAAATCCATTCATAGTTCCCAGAGGTGACAGGAGTAAGGCTGCCCAGAACTTGCAGCCCCTACCTACACTCCTCAGAATTACCCTTTCCTATCTTAAACAATAGCACAGGTGAGGGCCTTGAGGCATTGAAGAACCCTTTCTAAGGTTTCAGGAGTAATCAAAGGAAAAATGAGGGCAGAAGGGACCCAAATCAGCATTCTTAGCCCCCCCGAGACACAGGGGTATGTAAGCTGTAAGTAGTAAGATATTTGTCACCAGTGATAAAGTTGTAATTTTTGCAGACTTAACTTATTCAGTTGAATGAACCCAAAGTTATCCCTATTGCAAGATGACTCTTGCTTATATTCTGATAAATATTTTCTGAATGGGAGAAAGCAGAGAGTATTCTGGACACCCTAAGGAACCGCTTACACTTGGAAAATGGCTTTGTTAGGTTGGGGATGGAGAGGAAGGTTGAAGATACTGAATTCCAAGGTATAGTTCACAAGGTGTGGTACACTTATTTTCAGGTGTGGTTTCCCTTGGGGACCACAGGGAACTTCTACATCCTGCCTGGATTCTACTTTTAACCCTGAGACCAAGAAACTGAGGCCCAAGAACAGGTAAGTCTATACCCTAACCTTCCAGATAGTTTCTCCTTCCTACATGGCTGACGTGAGGACTGTCTCTCCACTTGAGGAGAGATCCCACCCCCTTGTAAACAGGGGCATTGTAAAAGACACAGTTCTGTGATTTACAGGATGTGAGTATGTATGCAGGAATGGGATTAGAGGACAGCTGTTTTCTTCATGAATGTTTGTAGCATATGTAAATATTTAATCATCTAGTCCTATGTACAAGAAAAAAAAAAAACAGGGAAAAATAAAAATGAACAAAGGCAAGTGACCTAAGCTAGTTTTCTCTTGTATCACTAGTGTTCTATGCAAACACTTATAGGAAAAAGACATCATGGGGAATTCCAAGATGGATAATATACTGCTACTTCGTTCAAGCAAAGTCTGGTCAGCTGTTACAGACAACTGACTTGGGGTGTCAAAGTCTAGAAAAAGGAGAGAACTTCTGTTAGATGTCCCTACCCTCAGTGGGTGGTCTCTAACTCTCTGGACAGAGGATGGAGTGGGGCAGCGGCAGAGGGGGAGGGAAACCCATGACCTGCCCCTTCTCTACCGTGAGTTGTTCAGCCTCCTATACCCGGCCAAGGCTGACTTTGGCTCCGAGGTCTCTGTAAATCAAGCATGCATCTTTGGCAAGAATACCCGGGAGCCACTGAAGTCTGGCTTGTAGTGCCCACTCACCTGGAATCCAGTTAGCAAGGATAACCATTCTACCTACCTGGCACAAACTGCCCTCCCTTTCCCGGCATCTTCTCCCCAGCTAGCCAGAACCCACTATTTCATGATAAGCTATGAAAACCAGAAGCTCTGCTGGGTTTCCTAGAGGAGAGTGTGGATCCAGTGGAAAGCACTGAGGCTGGCCAGTCTGATGTGAGGTTCACAACCCTGCTCAGCAGCCTACCAAAGAGAATCAGCAATATTATTGAGGGGAGCGCAGTTGTAACTCCGCTGAGTTTCTGCAATATTCTGAAAGTAAAATTAATAACTAACTGAAGGCCTTCTATACCTACCCAATTGGATTAAGAACAAAAGTTGAAATTTTGGTCCTCTAGAAGTGACAGCGCACTTAAGAACTCCTTAAGTAAGATAAATTAGATAGGCGATACCATGTATTCATTTAAAAACCACTTTTCCCAGGATATTTAAGTATTGCTATGTTCTTCCCTTCTTGAGACCTTCGGTAGAAGCTGAAGGGGAGAAAGGCGAAGCCGGAAGAGGATGGCCAAGGGGTATCAGCAGTGGGTGACACAACAGGGGCACACAGGAGAGGGCCAGCGATCATAGGAACAGTGCTGCCACACTGACCTGAGACACCCAAAACTTCCTAAGCACAAATGCAAGGAGCACAGAGAAATCTGTCCTCAATGTGTCCTCAGCGCATCTTCTGAATCCTCCCTTCTCAGAAGCAAAGTTTCTGTCATCTAGTTGTATGGAAAGTAAGAGAGGGATGGCATCCTCCCTGTCTCTCACAGAAAAGAGAGTGATCTTTTCGTTTGTTTGTTTTTAAGTATTCAGTTCTTCAAGATTTACAGTGGGAAGCAAAGTCAGGAAACATGGAGCTGTATACCCATAGAGCAGGAGGAGATTCTGGAAATCATCTATGTTCAGCCAGCTGGCCTTAGGCGAGCAAATGTTGGCCATGCTGGTGAAGAATCCCCAAGATCAGACAGCTAGTGAGAAGAAAGGACTGTAATCCACACTGTGTACCTAACTCAGAATTTGTCTTTTTTTTCTTTTACCTTGTTTATGGTAGATGTTAGCCCAAAGCAGAGCATATGAGGATACATGTAGAATATGTCATTTTAAGCCTCATTGGGTTTTTTTTACATTTTAGGTCAAGATGGGGTTTATATTCTCAAAATCTATGAAGGAAAACATGAAAAACCAACAGGAGTTTATGCTTATGAATGCTCGACTCCAGGTACATTTTCAAATAATTAAGCTTTTATGTTGTTACAGTGGTTAAATTTTCTATACCATATACTCCAGCAGTATTGCTCTCTTTGACCCCAAAAGGTAACATGCTCTTGGGCCTCCATCTGTAGAGCCAAGATGAAATGGATTATTAATTATCTGGTGAATGGGTGTGTTTAAATCTCCAGTCTAGATACTAGTATAAAAATTTCCATACCAAAGGAACACATAACTGCTTAGAGTGTAGGGTAGGTAGAATGATGCCCCTCTCCTCACCAAATAACTGCATCCTAATCCCCTGTGAATATGATTAAGTTAAGGCGTTTGAGCTCCTCTGAAATGTGATTAAGTTAAGGAGTTTGAGCTAAGGAAATTCCTGGGTTATCCTGGATTATCTGGATGGGCCCAATGTAATCACAAAGGTCCTTATAAGGGATAGAGAGGAGACAGAGGGTCAAAGTCAGAGAGAGAGAAAAAAGATTTGAAGATGCTACACCACTGGCTTTGAAGACAGAGTGAAGGGCTAAGGAAGGAATTCAGGAAGCCTCTAGAAGCTGGAAAAGGCAAGGATGCAGATTCTTTCCTAGACCCCAGAAGGAACACAGTCCCACAACCCCCTTGGGATTTCTGACTCCAGAACTGTAAGATAATAAATTTATGCTGTTTTAAACTTCAAGTAAATTTGTTATAGCAACAATAGCAAATTAACATACACTGTGAAAACTTGACACTGGATTTATACATTGGCTGATATAAAAGATCAAAGCAAAGTAGATTGTCTAATTGCCTGATAGAAGTTGTCAGAAAGTGTTATGAAATGTTGTATGCCAAAATCAAGTGTTAAAAGTTTGACTGAAATTATTTTCCTAAGGTTTCAAACAAAGATCTCTTGGCTTCTATGGTTCATTATGGCCCTGGGGCAGAAGGGCCTCTTGTGAGGCAGTATGGTGGGTGGTTAAAAGTGAGGACAAAACCCAGACCACCTAGGTTTGAATCCCATCTCTACCCCTAACCGTATGACTTGTACCTCAGACTCCTAGTCTATAAACTAGAGGTAACAGTATCCCTTTCAGAGGGTTGCTTTGAGAAGTACTGATGGTAATGTATAGAGAGTAGACACTGCATCAAGTCTTTAGAACAGTGTCTTTCACTTTGTTAAGTATTTGTTGTTGCTGCTGTTATGGCTATAAGAGTGTCCTCTGCAGGACAATGATTTCTTTTGGGGAAATGGGACCATTTAAAGAATGGAAACTGAATTATTGTAACAGATTAAAAGTGACCTAGGAGAGACCAAACATTAGGCATACAAACCAGCCAAGAATGTCATATACCCATAGAGTCTTTTGTCCAAGATCTTTGGAAACTATAGATTTTTACATCCATTCCCATGAGGTCAGGATATGTGAAGGATGTGGGATTTTATCCTATTTACAAGATCACAAATTAGCCTGTTACTATTTCCTGGACACTAGAAGAATACAGGAGATACTTGCATCAGAGACAGAGGACTTCATTACTCATAGCACAGTAAGCAGCATGAGCTTGAGGTTGGCATGAGCATTTCCTGTGCCTCTCAGGTTTCAAGAGGGCATGCAGATAGGCTTAGCTGGATGCTGAGGTGGGTACAGTGGGTATGGGACAGAGCTGAGGAACAGTGAACTATGGAATCTACTACTTTTACCGTGACTGGTCAGCAAGGCTGCTCTTAGGTAAGACATGTTACTTCATCTCTCAAGGTTTCTCATCACTGCAAACACAGCCCTGAGAAATGGCCAATGTAAAGAACAGTCAGAGCCTATATCCTTGGCCAACCCAGTAAAAAGTAGAGGAATGCTCATGGCCTGTGCTGTTTGATTCTCCCACCACGTGTTTGTTTAGGATGATTAGTTTTTCTTTGTTGATCAGGATATATTTTATTGTTTATCTTCTAATTTCAAAGAAGGATAATAAAAAGAATGTAGATCCGGGGTGCCTGGATGGCTCAGTTAAGCGTCCAACTTCAGCTCAAGTCATGATCGCACAGTTTGTGGGTTCAAACCCTATGTCGGGCTCTGTGCTGACAGCTCAGAGCCTGGAGCCTGTTTCAGATTCTGTGTCTCCCTCTGTCTTTGCCCCCCAGCCTGCTCTCTGTCTCTCTTTCTCTCTCTCAAAAATAAACATTAAAACAAGTTTTTTAGAGGCTCCTGGGTGGCTTAGTCTGTTAAGCATCTGACTTCAGCTCAGGTCTTGACCTCACAGATGGTGAGTTCGAGCCCTGTGTCGGGCTCTGTGGTGACAATTCAGAGCCTGGAGCCTGCTTGAGGATTCTGTGTCTCCCTCTCTCTCTGCCCCTACCCAACTTGTGCACTTGCTCTCCCATTCTTTCTCTCTCAAAAATAAAATAAAAACATTAAAAAAATTTTTTTTTAAAAAGAACGTACATCAACACTGTTAAAACAGCTTTCCAACCCTAAAGCCACTTGAGTTCTGATCTTAACTGGAACAGGTTAGAGAGAAACATGGTCTGTAGAAATTGTGAAAGATTAGGTGGGTCCTCCTATTTAAAATAATTAAACTCCCAACATGTTTCTTGGGGTTTAGAGCTATTCTTTTATTGAAAATAAAGTATCACAAAATATCTGACACATTCTAGGGAATATATAAGTTATGAAGCATATAATAAAATGAGCGCCAATGAACCCATTACTAAATTGAATAATTTTATTATCACAATACACCTAAAGCTCCCTATAGGTTGCATCCTACATGTTGAGTGAGCCCAAACAGCTAAAGCGGGTCTGGAATTGGCCTCATATCCCAGAGCCCCTGGGACTGGGCAGGACTCATAAAATGTAAGGAATGGGCCACATAATCATATGTATTAATGCCTTTAGCCCATGACAGCATGTCTTTTGGTTCTTTTCTGATTTGATGGCTCCCAATAAAAGGGGTAAAGAGAAGAAGTAAAGCAAAACCTCTATTAAAGAAAAGCCTAATGACAAGAATGCTTTTCCCAGTGGTTTTTCCTTAGTGCTACTTTTTTTGGGGGGGGGTAAAAAAAGATAAATCATAACTCAATAATTCCATAATATTGGGTTTTTTTTTTTTTTATTCAGGGAAAAGGACCAGAATGAGAGATACAGCTACATATCATAGCAATGCCCACGTTCTTAACTGGCTGTACATTCTACTCACTCAGGGGCTTTGGAATATTTAGGTCCCACCCCGGACCAATCAGATCTCTTCATGCCTGGGCATATTGTCACTGTTCTAAGCTCTCCAGGGGACTGTAATGCACAGTCGAGTTTGAGGCCTTTGGCCTTTCATTTTCTATGATGCTATATAGTATACTCAATGATTGGCAGGGATTTAACACAATGCATATTGGAGCTGGAACCAAATAGTTTTCAATTTAAGTAAGCTAATCAGGAAATTAAATCAGTTTACTAGAGTCTGATTAATAAGAATTTATAAAAAACTTCAAAGCATAAAGTTTTCTCTTTATTACAACTTTGGTTCAAGTTGAGCTAGAGGGGATTTATATACTACTAGTTAGAATGATGTTTTCAAATCATCAGCAACCTTCAGGTTCCCATTGTTTTGTTTAGCCTCTGTTAGGAAGGTAGCTATACTCAGTAAACGAAGTATCACTCAGAGAAAAATGAATACTTTCTTAAAAACACTATTAGATAGCACACCTAAATTAATTTTATATCACTTGAGTGACCAGAAAAGCATTTTGATATTATATAATAGGATGGCAACTGGAAATGGAAAGCAGAAAGAATGAGGGAAGATTCCATAGGTCCTTGCTGTGCTCTAGAGCTATGTAGGCAAAGCAGTTATGGTTCATGTAAAGATAAGTCAGGTAGTTTATTCACCATTTACTGTGTATATACAACAAACTAAAGATTTGAGAAATACGTGACTGTATGTCTATTGTTAGTTTGGTATTAAAGAAATGAGGTTTAGTTATAAGCCAAAAAATACATAGTTATTTAATATGTATAAAACAATGTGCTATATGATAAGCAGGAACCAGAAATGCATAAGGTATGGGCTCTATATTCAAGGTACTTCTCATCTAATTTAGTGGGGAGAGGGTGAGTTATGCTCCAAATAACCAGATGTTTGTGTGTATGTATGTGGTAAGCAGAACACTGGCCCCCTAAAGACGTCCACACGGTAATCTCTAGAACTGTGAATGTATAACCTTGTAGAAAAATGGACCTTGCAGATGTGATTAAGGGAACAGACCTTGAGATGGGAAAATTATCCTTGATGTTCCATGTGGACCCAATCTAAACACACAAATTCTTAAAAGTGGAAAGGTCCAGACAAAAGAGAGATAAATGCCATACGTGGAATTTAAGATACAAAACAAGTGAAAAAGGAAAAAAATAGACAGAAAAAAACCACTCTTAACTATAGAGAACAAACTGAGGGCAACCAGATGGAAGGCAGGGTAGGGAGGAATGAAATGGGTGAAGGACATTAAGAACACACTTACATGAACACTGAGGAATGCACAGAATTGTTGAATCAGTATAATCACACCTTAAACTAACATAACACTATATGTTAACTATACTGGAGTTACAATTTAGAGAGAGAGAGAGATGTGATATTGCTGGATTGTAAGATGGAGGAAGGGATCCCCCAGCCAAGGAATGCAAGGAATACCTGGAGGAACTGGAAAATGCTAGGAAACAGATTGTCCCCTAGACTCTCAGAAAGAAGAGTCTTGCAGACACCTTGATTTTAGCCCATTCAAACCTGTGTCAGACTTCTGCTGTCCAGAAGTATAAGAGTAAGTTGTGTTGTTTTAAGCAACTACATTTGTAGTAAGTTGTCTATATAGCAGCATGGACTCTGATAGGTTTATCTCTACAACATAAAATATGTGTATACTCAATATATACTTTTTCAAATATATAAAAATTAGAACAGTTAATAACTATTAGGAGAACTTTCTGAAATTGCCTAAACTCCTATAACTCCCAACAACCTGCCATTCTTATGCCCTCT